TCATTTCTTTTATGACTATCCTGTTCAAGTCCATTCCTGTTTTTTCCCTTTGGCAGGTTTCTATTTTTCTTATTGATACCTAAGCGTTCTTTGTATATGGAGGACACGAACCCTTTGCCAGCGCTATCTGTCGTCAGTATTCCATTACCCCCTCTGCTTTGACACTAACGCATTGCATTGTAAGTGGCTGTTGACTTTGGCAACATTGCAGAGAAACCGCCCCGCACAAGCATCAAGTAACTGCAGCTTGGTGTGAGTCTGATGCAGAGAGGCCAGTGAGCAGTGCACAGTCTTCCCTTTAAATCAAGAGGCCTCGCCAGCTCCCCCTTTCCTCTGGCACCTCCTCCCTCCTTGCCAAGACCAGTCTTCCCTGCGGTTCTTGCTGTCTCTCCTGCTTCCTCTACACTTTGCTCCTCCAAACACTCCTCAAGACGCCTCATTTGCTGAGAACACAATTGGCTGATCCAGGCCTCCAGTGGCAGGAGGCTTGGCATTGTCTGAAGAAAAAGGTTTGACTTAAGCCAGCGTCACCCAAGTGGCGGGTGTCAGGCTCTGAGGAGTCCGTGGGAAGGGTCATCTCCCGCAGCACGGGACCTTCTCCCAGCAAGTTATCTTTTCTGGATGCCTTCAGAACATCAGGAAGTAGATAAACTTGACTTTGGACGAGTCACCAGTTGACCTGTCTGAGAAGCCCCCCTTTTCTCTCCTTCCCCCCAACCGGGTCAAGGTCTGTCCTCTTGGCTCTGACAGTGCCCAACATCCCGCCTCCATCAAGGCGTCTGTTGCCCTGTGTTGTAATTGCTGTCGTCTGGTCTATCTCTCCTGCTAGCCTGGGGCTCCTTGAGGCCAGGCTTGGGACCTTATTCTCTCCGTATCTTCAGTGCCCTTCAGAAGACTTAGTATGTAGCAGGTGCTCGTAAATGTTCCTTGAGTTAATAAAGTAATCCAGCCTCAGTTTTGCCATTTGTCAAATGGGTTGGGGGGGTTGGGCTAAAGTGTCATCTCTTCGAGGTTTCCTCAACATCTCAGACATAGGCACTCAGTTTGCAAGCCACTGTATCATGATGATTTTCTTGAATCCTTGGATCTATGATAATGGCACTATTAACATGTCCAGTTTATAGATTAGGCGACTGAGGCCCAGAAAGGGCCCTGGTGTTAAGCCAGAACATTGCAACTGCAGGGTTGGGCTGGGGTTTGGACTGGGACTTCCAGTCAGCTGAGTGACATGGAGCAAGTTATTTCTTGTCCTTAAACCTCCATTTTCCCACCCTTAAAATGGGAACCCAAATAGGAGCTACTTTATGGGATTACTATACAGATTAAATGAGGTCATCCATGTGAAGCTCTTAGCAGGAAGCTTGTTCTGTCATAAGGGACCTATACACATTAGCTATTATGATTTCTAGGCCACCACACTGAGATGTTCATCTGAGCAGTTTGGGATTATTAAATCCTTTACAGTTGGATTATTAAGGCTCCGTGTCCCACCAGGTGTAGGAGAAAACCAAAGGCATATTTCAGTGCTTCTGAGCAACGGTGCATGGGTGCGGTCATCGCTGCCGGGTTCCAGACTATGAAGTTGCCTCAGGGCTTCTCAGGCACGTTCCTAGTATCACCAGCACCGGAATAACATACTTAGTTCTTAAAGCTTTGGTTTGGGGAGTCAGAATTGTGAGTGTGAAGCTTGAGAATCTTCATTTGTACCCGCTCCCCAGGTGATTCTGCTGTACCCCTAAAACTTAAGAACCACTGAAACTGAACATTTGAACACTTTTGCCTTTTGCCCTCTGTCCAGGTTTCTGTGTTCTTTACTGTACACTTAAGTTTATTTTTCCTTTCTTAGCAAATATCGAAAGTCTTCTGGGAGTCTAAGTCCTGCGTCAGCATTTGAGAGTAGAAGAAGTGAAACCTTGTCTTGTCATTCCAAGAGAGATTATGTTAGCATTCACCCCCTGTGTGGACTTAGAAAAGGAGTTGAAACCACAGAACTGAATAAAAATATATGTAGAAGTGTAATCTGAAAATAGATAATACTGATGTGATTCAAGTTGAGACAGAAGTGGGAAGACTGGAGACCACAGCTTCCAGCCTTACTCTTGTTGCTGAAAGGTCTCCGTGGGGCAGGTTGGAAACCGCACAGTTACTGGCCATCGGGAAGAGAGGGAAGTTCTCAGCCCTTGCTGAGTTTGCTGTGTGACCTCAGGCAAGGCACTTTCGCTTCCTGGCTATCCTTGGCTCACAGGTAAAGGAGGAGGTTGAATGTTAAATTGGCAGGGTAGTAGCTGAGGTAACAAATAGAACCAGAACGTTTCATGGCTCAAACCAAGCACGTTTACTATCAGGCAGGTGTTCCTCAGTGGATGTGGCCCTCTTGGGGCAGCCATTCTGTTTTTTTTTTTTTTTTTAAAGATTTATTTATTTATGTATCTAGAACTGGGGTGCGGGCCAGAGGTGCAGGGCCGGTGAGAGAATTCACCAGAGACAGAGTGGTGAGCAGAACAGGCAGATTGATGAAGTACACTGCTGAGAGGAGCAGTGGGTGGGTCAGGAGAGGTCTGCTGCGCCATGTGGGTTACCACCAGGGCCAGGGATCGAACTCACACTGAAGCTGCTGTAGCCAGCTTGCATGCTACATCTTAACCCATTGCACCACCAGGGAGGGCCCCTGTGTTCCTCTTATGGTTCTGCCTACTGGTCCCTTGGGTGGCACCACTGATGAAAAGTAAGGAGGGGGCATATTTGCTTGTTCACTGCCTTCCTCTCATAGGGAAGAATTGCCAGACGACCGATCTAGTTGCAAAGGAAGCTGGGAAAGAGCATTCTTGGCAAGGACATTGCTTTCCAACTACAGCTGTGTACCATGCAAGAGGCAGTGGTTTTTGCAACAGCCTAAACAGTCTCTGTCACAAATACAGCCACCTCTGGGGCTTTTCCCATTCTCTCACCAAATCCCCATATAAACTATGTGCAAAGGTGTCATGATTATCACCTTTATCGCATTTTATACAGGAGGGAAGTGAAGCTCAGAGAGATGAAGGGACTTCAATCCAGAAAATCCTAGTCCTGTCCTCAGGATACATCTTGGAGTATGTCTGTAAATGTGTGCATGTGTGTTTACGTGTGTGTAGAGGAGGGGCAGGGGATTGTGGTAAAGGTAGGGAACTTCCTTGGGGTGAAGCTTCTCAAGGACTGGGCATCGGGGAAGCAGAAGTACAGGAATCACCATCCGAGTTTCTAGAATGGACTAAATGTGCTGGTTTTTAGGCAGCTGGGGGGTTCCCGGCCTGGGAAGTCAGTGTAATTAGGTATTATGCCACTAGCAAAAGAAAGAGTGGGGGTGTCGTGGGGGAGCTCAGTCCCCTGATGGCATCTGTGGATCCCAGATGTTACTGAGGCCTTGACAGACAGGGTCCACAGTGGGTATTTGAGAATGGTTCTCTGTGTGAAGAAACCTCTGGAGGTTTATACCAGTCTGAGACCCTAAGAGCGAGCAATCAGCTTCAGTCCTATTCTTACAGTCCTTGGGGGACAGGACGCAAACTTGTACCATACACTTTCATTCATCCACTCAACAAGTGTGTTGTTGCGTGCACAACAGGAATTCCACAGGAATTGTGAAAACACAATTCTTTTCCTATTCCTCATGGGATTTTAGAGGGGTCAGGGGGGTCATCAGATTCCCCTGTGTTTTAGAGATGAAGCAACCCAGGGCTTGATGGTTGAGTGACATATTCGAGGT